AGCAAACAACACCAGATTTTGTCATTGATAATTCAACGTTTGTTATAAATGTATCAAGAAGTGTTGCTGACTATTGTGTGATACGAGTTAGCAAAGTAATCACATGTGCACATTCATTAGAAGACACCGTGACATCAAAGTAAAATTGCAGTGCAGTATCACCCAATATATCAATGTTGAAGTCTCCACCACAAAACATAGTGCAATTATTTTCATTGACATACTGAAGAAGACTATCCAAACAATTTATAAACTCTGATACAATATCATTTGGAGGGGGATGACTACAGAAAATACGGTTCGGTTGGAACGGACAGAGAGCACTTCGCAATTATCAGAAATAAAAGAAATTTCAGGAATCAAGTGGCATTTGAGATCCGAACGAACAAGCACTGAGACACCACCGCCTCTACGTCCGCTTAGACGGTTAACAAAATACATCTGATAAATAGGTAATGTGAGCACACTGTCGTCTGCATGTCATGTCTCAGATATCATTATCACATCAAAGCAAAAGCGGAAGCGTTCTACCAGTACAGTAAACTCATCATATTTGTTGCACATTGAAGGAGAATTGATATGAAAGCATTGAACGGGACTGGAAGATAGGAACTGAGAACCGATGTAACATTTTATCTGCTCAGGATTCATGTAGTCGACGGACCCCAGTGTAGGCATCACAGAGCGAAAATTCGGAAAGTCTGGCCCTAAGCAGCCGCTGATGCGTGCAACTGCTCACTCTTAGGCCCTGCAGTCGGACTTGAGGCAGTCATGCGATCTACATCTGCCAGCGATACGATGTGTAGAACAGGTGTCGAATCCCCTCGACGCGCAAGCACTCTGTTATTGCTGCTCCAGACATGCTTCCAGTCAACAACTTTTTTATGAGAAATGGCAGCGTGAAGTAACTGCTTGTTCTTGCCTGTTAGGTGCTCGTTCACAAAAATGGGTCTTGAGTTGAGTTGAATAAACTTTATTTGCCCAACGGTTGTTGCTGTGCCTGGGGCTAGGCTGCCAGGGACACATCGTTCGAGGAACATCTTCTGAGGTTCTCGGCGACGGCCCTGGCCTGCTGGACGGCCCACACCTGGTCTTCGAGGGCCTCGCTGGGAAGGGCGGCTTTCCATTGCTCAGCAAGGCACCCCATTTCAGTGGGTCCCTCAGTGGACGTCATCCTTTCTCGTGGCCCATCTTCATCTCTTTCGCATTGCCAAAGTATATGCGCCATATCGGCCCGCTCGTGCGCGCACCACGGGCAGCCAGGCGATGGGTGCAGCGTGGTCTTGATTGGCCTGCGTACTCAAGGGACTGAGTAGTCACTCGAGCCTTAGCGTTGTGTTTGGAACAGCGCGTAAACCGAACAATGAGATTCCTTGCTCGACCTTTCGATGTTTTCACCATGTGACAAATATCAACATCCAAGTCATCAATGGTTTCGCCCAATTTCATGCCAATAGCCTTGACAGCTACAGTTGCATTACAACCGTCGGGCAGACCCTTGACCTCAATGTTTTTCAACCTCTGATACTGTTCATGTTCGTCAATCCTATCCCCCAGTATCTGGTTTTCGTGCTCAAGCTGTACATCTTTTTCCAAAAGCTTCATGTCAAGCTTGAGCTCTTTAACATCTCTCTGAATTTCAGAAACGCTGTCGCATGTGTTCGAACAATACTTTACGCTCTCCTTAAGAGAACAAATTTTAAGGCAAAGTTCCCTGTGGAATTCCTCGAATTGTTTTGCAATTTCTTTGCTTTCTTTAGACATGGTTCACAGTGTACAACCCACAGGTACAAACAAGAAACTCAAAGGCTGTGTTCAACAGCGGTGTTTTAGAAGCAGGCAATACTAAAAAAGCAGTATTCTCACCGGTAAACATGCAAGAATGCGGGTTTAGCGGCATCCAAGGAACACACCACTGCTGAACTGAGCTCGACAAAGGCTCGCTGAGTCCTTTTTATCGGCAGGCAACGGTAGGCGAAGGCTCAATGGTGCAAACGATGCCTGTGGTTTTCTTCACCTTGGCCGTTGACCACGAGGTATCTTCGTAGGTGGGATGTTTTGTATTAGCAGCACTCCACGCGAGCGATCCGCTGTAAATATGCAAGAAGGTTTAGCTGCATCCAAGGAACACACCACTGCCGGTGTGTTCCACTGGCAGCGGATTCAAACATCTGGTTCGCAATTTCTCCATTAACCTCATTTATGTCTCATCAAACGTAACTTGGATTCTATTCTGATTATTGTTTTTGTTATTCTACAGCTGTTATCATTTTTATGTTTTGCTTATGTATTACTTTTTGCTTAAATATATGAATAGCCTATGTCTATTCGTTTCTTACTTTGTACTTTGCTGTTATATTTTTATTTTAGCTGTTAAGTAGTAATGTTTTTTTTTATATTATGATAACATTGCTCTACAGTGATTGCACTATGGGACCTTTTTCTGTACTATCATGACTAAATTCTGTACATGTACTCACTATACATTAGATGTACATTAACTGCAAACTTTTTCACCACAAAGGGCATCATGGGGCACATGATCACTGTATCATGTGGCTACTGACCAATAAATCCTTGTATGCTACCTAAAGTTCGTCATGACGCAGTTTTTTTTTTTTTGCAGTGAAAGAATGAAAAAAAATTGTTCTGTAGTTGTCTTTTGCGAAAGCTTGTGAAGAAAGCTTGTCTAGAGCAGAAACGGTCATTGCATTGCACGGTTCTGAAATGCAAAGAGGCTCTGTCGAACTCTGCTGGCATCAAGTGTTCCTTTTCAGTCTGCAGGTTTATTCAGACTCCAAGATAACGCACTCCTTACGTGCTACTGCTTCTTCTTTCATGAGATTTTTCTTTCTGTTGTTTACCAAAATTCATGAGGCTCAGGCTTTACTTTATCTTGTTAAGCATTTAATGTTTTTCCCAGCATATTTACATTTTTGCTACTTGTCCGTAATTATTGTGCTATTCTGAGCATAAAAGTTTGTCCTTGAGAAGCTTGTTGCCATCTCATTGCATCACAATGAATATTTTTATAACGTGGCTTAAATATAATGTGTCAATGCATACATTGCCCTGAAAAGCACTGTGATGACACAACTTTATGCAGTGATGGAAGTGCTGCTCCAATTGCTCTAAACTGCTTCAAAGGAGAAATGCTGTCCCATGCTGCTCCAAACAGTAATTTTTATTAGTAATTGCTCAAAACTTGTTCCGAAATGACATCGAGAAATTAAGAATGAAGCACCTTTACTGTTTGTCCAACTCAAAGAAACTGAAAATAATTTCTGTACTGTCATCCTAGTCTGCTGTGTTTTCAGATCTGATCTTATTTTTGCGAGAAGAACTCGCATAATTAAGGGACTCTAAAGGTAATTATTAATTAAGTTGACATTGATTTCTCAAATAGTTGTCTAGAAACTTCATAGTGCTAGTTTTGTACCAAGGAAGTGGTTATTTTGAAATAAAATCACTTTTTAATGGTTTGCATCACATTACGTGCTTGAAATCATTTGCCGTAAAAGTGGTCTTTTAGATGCCACTGTTACCAGTAGCAGCAGAGCAAAAGTAGCGGGAGCCACAGTTACAACAGCGACCATTGAACAATTTTCTGCATTCTTGAAGGCCATGATTCTGCTTGCTCGATTCAAGTGGGCCCCACTAGATGGCATCATTTGTCCAGCCTAACCAGCCAAAAACTGAACTGCTTGGAAATGCAGTGAAAGTAACTTTCATGCTATAGAAACATGCGCATCCTGTATACATGCTTCACAATGCAACACGAAATATTGCCGTAATAATGCGTGATACAAGCTTACATTGTCCTCGGGTGTCAGAACATGGGATTATCATAATGACTTCATAGTTTAATGCCAGTCACCCACTACAAGAGGCACACACATTAGTGCACCCTTAAGGCCACGATGTGGGTTCAAAGCAGGTTAAAAAATATTTTATACACTAAGGGTACGCACTAGGAACAGAATATTGCTATCACGTTCAGCTGTCAAAGGCGAAGCTTAAGTGTCCCCCATATTTTCGATTCACTCGCGCCACTCCCCATAGTAACGTCAGGGGGTTCTTTTTCTATAAGTCAAACAGAAACAGACAGGCACTATTTTATTACATCTCTTGATGCACCGAAGGTTCTTTTTTATTGCAGCTACTTTGATTACTAATTAATTTTAGGTGTACACAGGCATCATTTCGCAAATGTCCCACTTATGGCACACGTTGTATGATACATTTAACTTAGTTTCTTAGTAATTTTGGCACTGCTATTGATAATATTGCTGTTTTAGACATTGTCATACATTGAGATTTCAGAAACTCTGACATAAATTGGTATTTCTTGTGTCCCTTTGAGTATATAGCTCAATTTACCATTTTTTATTTTTCCTCTCAGCTAGACATGCAGGTTAGTGTAGCGAAATGGGGAAATGAGCAGTATTGCATTTATTTCACACTGATTACTGCTTGTTTGGCAACAGTTATATGGGACTGTGGTTACTTCTAAAATGTTGTACTCAGCCTTTCCGGTCTCAATTGATTTCTGCCACAAATATATTTATTTTTGCAGCTTATTTGGAGCACCTTTTTGGCAACCTGCCATTGCTTGCTACGTGAAATTTACATTGATTGTTGTGTGTTAAATATATTTTATAGGAAATACTAATGTTTTTAAAGGGACTTATTCTCCGAACTCCAATTAAAGTATGGCAAATTTAAAATTTGCTCTTAAGACACCGATAGCTGCTCTAAACAAGCATTTTTTTCTGCTCCAAAAACACTTATGACTGCTTCTAAGCAGCACTTTTCTTGCTCAAAAAAGCAGAAAGTAACTTTCATCACTGTTTTATGTGTACAAGTTTATTAACGAAAGTTTTCGTGCCATAAGCTCCATTAAACTTAGCGAATTCTGGCCTACGATGATGCTTTCACTGCCTAAAAGTTCACTCTCGGTGCTACATGCTCTGGGCGTGTGTGTAACACAAAATTCGCAGGGGAGGCCCCAGCGTGAGACCTTGGGCACATACCGTGCACTGCGTCACTTTGACGAATTCTACTCGGGTGTGTTTGGTGATGCGTGGCCCTCTGTGCGCCTGGCGCTCCTGTGCCCCAACAAGCCGTGCGCCCTTACCAACACCTTAGTGCCCAATGTGGAGGACGTGGAAAAGCAGCTGCGCTCACTCGGTGCTCTAAGCCTGAGCAACCTGTGTGAGCGTCGTGCTGGTACGGCTGCTTCCACAAAAGAGGATAAACCTGCCACCAGGTGCGGCTTCACAGTTCTAACTCGATGCTTCTCCTCTTCCGCCGCTCTGTGCAGCAGGGTGGCAACCGCTGCGCCATGTTGGTGCCCATTTCTTGCATCACACAGCTGGTGCACGTGAGGCATGACGAAGTGGGCACTTTGATGGCGGGCGTACCAACAATGAATGCAGCCACCCTGCACGGAGGAGAAGCATCCTACTGCTTCTGTCTTTTTTGCTCAATGGCAGCCATTTCGAGTGGTCTTCATCACTTGGCCAGTGGTCTTGTGGTGACACCCGCTCCACACTTTGGCTCTAGTGTACCTCTCTTGTTTTTTTTTTTTGCTAATTTAATTAGTGTGATCAATTTCCCGAATAACGAGAACTAAGAGGCAATAATGTAAGGGAAAGTATAGGGAATATTATTAAAAGTAATTGTAATGTAAAAAAAGAAGAAACAAAGTGCATCTAGCTCTGTGTAAGACTTGGCGTTCATCAGTTGTGATTTTGCTGATTGCACTGTAGAAGTGGAGCCAGGGCTGTTTGATCACCATCTCATAAGCATATCGTTACCGCTTCAACCACTAAAAAAGTATAAGCACGTCTCTGTACGTTCTTTTAAAGACTTTTCTCATGCCAGTGACCCAAGCAACATTGATTACATGCAAAACTATTTGATTGATTTCGAGGGCAACAACGCTCAATTACTTTGGAACAAGTTCAAAGATATGTGTCACTATTATCTAGATGATTTCATTCCTAATAAACTAAACAAAGCTAAAAAGCAAATGCCTTGGATGAATCGGAAAATCATTCAACTAAAGCACTGGATAAAGACATATAAAAAGAAACGTGTGCAGAATGACAAAATAAGGCAGATGCAAGATGACCTCGCTCGTGCACTTGATGCGGCAAAAGGTTATTATTTCAAAAATTTCGCTTCCTAACTTCATAAAAAATGAGCTTGATAAGTTTTAGCACTACATAAATGATAGCAAGAAACCAGTTACTCAAATATCACTTGATAGGAAGCCGGTGACAGATAAGTGTGAGATTGCTCAACACTTCAACTCTTTTCAAAGTGTATTCCCTAGTGCAACTGTATGAACGTGTGACGGCACATTTACCAAACTATTATATACGAGTTTCGTATCGAATGCTGGGGTATTTAATGTGCTAGTTACCTTGAAAACTAAGAGTTCTTCTGTTCTCGATGAAATCCCCAACATATTTCTCAAGCGATATGCCGAGCTTCTTGCCAACTTTCTTGTAATTTTGTTTCGTGTCTCAGTGATTACTGCACAACTGCCTATTGACTGGAAGTAGCCTGGGTTGTTCCTGTGTTCAAGAAAGGTGACAGGACATTTATACAAAATTATCGTCCTATTTCACTGACATTCCAATGCTGCAAACTTGTGGAACATATTATAGCTAACTGTGTTCGTGAATTTCTAGAAAATAATGCTGCACTAACAGAACATCAGCATGGCTTTCGAAAAGGGTATTCAATGATAACCCAACTAATAACAGTAGTTCATTTGTTCGCTTCATCTCTTGATTCTAATGCATACCTGCCAAGTCTCCTGGATTGGGCGGCAGACTCCCGGATTTTGACCGTTTCTTCCGTTTGTACGGTTGTCATGAAAATCTTACGGAAATCGATATTTTGGTGCGTGATCCAGCCGCCTTGACAAAGAAGCAGCTCAATTCGCTTCAGGCTTTTCGAACCTTTATGAATGAGTTTAACAGGCGTTCATCTAAACGTACAGTAGAATCTCAGTGGTGCGAAACAGCGGCAGATAATTAGTAAAATTCCTCAGTGAAATTCTACTATATCTATTGGGCCTACATTCTGATGTTCCAAACGCATTTCCTAATCGCGGCGGGTGATACGAACTTTAGTACGGAAATCGTTGAACAAAGGCCGAGAGCAGCATACTCGAAGCTTCTAAAGTACCCGTGTGACCGGCGCACGCACTGTCTTCTACATTGTGCGTCATTGTCGTTGCCAGAACTGCTGTCGACGAAACCGTGGTCCCTTTTCACACGATCGTGTACAACTGACAGAGTCCCGAAAGTGTGCATCCGTCCAACACTCAATCAGTCAAAGCAACGCTGCTTTTTGCAAACACTGCGGACAAAACCGCGGCAGATGCGATCAAATACGGCATAAAACGACTTTGTTTTGAAGGCGCGTGTGCAGTCACGTGCACGGGGATTGACAAACGAGCTGCCATTTGCCGCTACCGCCGCGCACAACATCGTGGTCGCGGCGGCGCGATAGCGATCTGCGAGCTCGTGGGCACGCATCAGTAGACTAAAGGCAGTAAATGCATAAAAAAAAGTCACAGTTTCGCTGCAAGGACGAAGCAATGAATGCGACAGCAACAACTTGAAATGTCACACTGAGAACGGCAAGTAGATCGAAACACGCAGCACGCTGGTCACGTACAAATGACGCACGAAAACAATACACACAAGTTGAGAGCGAACTAACAACGTTTACCGCTCGACACGTAACGCGCTGTTTAAACAAAAAAAAGTGATGCTCGATACACTCAATGGTACGGATGAGTACAAACTAACAAGTGTCCCAGTTATGCCTCGCTAAGTATGAAAAGCACGCCCTTTTCGCAAACGGGGCCTGTGCATAGACTGAAGATATCTTTGTCGGCCCGGCAACTAACGCAATCGTTCCAGTAAAAGCCGAAAACACACGATTCTCTCCACCGAAAAATAAGCGCGCGCACAAACATCAATTCCCCCCCCCATCCGCGGGGCAAAGTACGCATCAGAGATAAGCGCGCATCGGCGCATTGCGACAAGCTGGGCACCGAGCGCGAACAGCGTTTTTTTTTCTCAAGTGTTAATATATATAGATAAGTATACATATACATAGTGTTCATGTGATGTCACTTCCGCCGTTGTCGCCATCTCCCGCCATGCCCGGGTACCTCTCTGGGTACCTACAGCAGTTTGCGTGCTTCAGCGCGGTTCGTTGAGGGCTCGTCATCTGTTGCTGTGCGCGATGTTTGAAGAGAAGCCGTGCGGTTTTTTGTTGTCAGGCTTTAACGAGCTCATCGAGCCAGGAAGGCCTCGCTTGTTCACTCGATACAAGACTGGAAAATCGAAACGTGTGACACGTATACAAGCCACGGCATACACCGGCTGCCCGCCACGATCTACGAGGGCCCATTATCTCGCTTTCACTACAAATTGCGTGGTCTAAGAACAAGTAAAAGCTCAAAGTCTCTCGAGCCACAATTTTAAAAGTGGATGAGCGAAGCGCACAGCTCCAATCGAAAATGAGTCATCATGCAGAGCTAGGCAAGTTTACAGGATATATATTATTAATACCAATTTTAATATGTAGCTGCGACCCACACCACCAAAGTAGCAATATGGCTCCCCGAGTGTTTTAAACAGTGATGATGATGAGCATCTTCGTGGAAACAGCCAAGGAATATATTGCATGCAAGGTAGAGACTTCGCGTGGTGCGTGCTGCGCTGATGCCGGTAACTTTTGTTTTTTGCGTATGTTATGACTCATTTTTTACCTTGTATATTACTTTTGTTGTTGTGCGCTAATGTACATATTGTCCCTGAAAATGATGCAGACCGTTTTAGGGAATCAATCGACCAATTTTTAAACAACCTGACCCCTCAACTTGAACCGATCGCCTATACTTCAAATCGCGAGTGAACGAATATTGTTTTACATCCGTTTTCACATTTGTTTGAATGCAATACCCGAATTCCCGTGATTGCCTTCACAATCTTAACCGCCTCCCTGACACGCGGATTGTGCACTCAGCGGTCGCGGACAAGTTTGTACATACAGTACCTATCTCTGTTTGCTGCTACGTGCTTCGGGTGTAACTTCATTACTTACCCGTAATGAAGTTACACCTGAAGACGCAAATATCATTGGTTCTTCTAGTCGTTTTTGTTAATGTGTGCCAGCCAAACATGCCGGTGCTTTTCGGAAAATCGCAGTGTGCGTTCTCAATTTTAGGTAATAACTTTCGGCAAAGAGAACACCCTGATGCTCTGCTCGCTTTTCGTGGACTGTTATATCAACTTGCCTCACCAGCAGCTGATAATTGCTCCAACTTGCATCGTTAGGCAAAACTGAACGGGCGCACGCACGAGAAAACAACACCGCAGAGGTCGGCCACGGAGTCAGTAGGTACACAGGAATGTCGGTGGCGCATTTCGGAAGTGACGAATCGGTGCTGCGTGACGCACGTGCACACTATGTATACGATGAATGACAACGGTGGCGGCGACGGCAAAACACCAACCTAGACTGTCAATAACAAAGGGGCCAGACACGTTTGCGCGTTCCTGTCAAAACAATGTAGTAGGGAGCAAAGCTTTGACTCGAGCTTTTGTGGCAGCCAGCTGCGCCGTCCCGACCGTTCACGTGTGTCCTAGTAAGACATACACGAGCTATTTTAAAGGAAATAAATTCTGCTAGTTGTGTTGATCCTTTGAGACTCTCACCTTAGTGGGAAACCCTACCTTCGTGTGTTCGGCCACTCCAAGCCGACCGCAATGCTGATGTTTGCGCTTGCGATTGAGGCTACCCACCTCTTCTTGTTTTTTTGCGATATTTTGTTTGTTTGTTTGTTTGTCCTTGGGTTTTTTTTGTGCCGAAAAAATAGGAGCAAACAATGCAGCACTCCCCCCCTCCCTCGCTGTGGAAATCTCCCGGATTCAGAATCTTTGAACTTGGCAGGTATGCTAATGGCCAAGTAGACATAATATTTCTTGATTTTAACAAAGCTTTCGACAAAGTTCTGCACGATAAACTAATCATAAAGCTTAGAATTCTTGGCGTTCAGTGAACACTTCATCAGATGGATTTCCGCTTACCTGACTAACAGGAAGCAATGTATTGACATTGGAGGTAAACGTTCTGAAAGTTTGGCAGTCACTTCAGTGGTGCCACAAGGTAGTGTCCTAGGCCCCCTGTTTTTCTTGGTTTATATTAATGATATTGTTAACGTAGTAAGCCCTGGTCTTCAAATTCAGTTATTTGCAAACGACTGCCTATTATTCAAAGAAATTCTTCATCTCGATGATCAGGTTGAGTTAAATAGCAGTTTAACGTATTGCAGTGGTGCGAAAAATGGGGAATGGTTTTGAATGCCAATAAAACCATACTGCTCCCTATAACGCGTAAAAAAGCACCCCTGCCTTTTACTTCCCAGCTTGGTTCTATGCCACTTGGGCAAGTCGATAGCTATAAATACTTAGGTGTTACAATAACAACTACCTTACCGTGGAATACATATAAATATTATTGCCTCCTCTGCATTCAGAAAGCTCTGCTTTCTAGAACATGAGCTTCATAATGTTCTAAGCAATGGTAAATTACTGGCCTATAATTCTTTAATAAGACCTAAATTAGAATACGCGAGTGCAGTATGGGACCTATACACTCAAGCTAACTTCAAGTTCTCACACTCAAGTTCTATACACTCAAGCTAACATCATATTTAACAAGTTCTCACAAGTCGACTCTCCTTCTGAATTAATGAAGGCCAATAGCATTTCTCTTCTTAGCACACGTCGAAAACAGATAAGAATTGACCTCCTTTCTTTTCTTTTGAGCCAGAAACTTGCGATTGACCCATCGCCGTACCTGACATTGTTATCAATCAGGCCCACAAGGCATCATTACGCCAAATCTCTAACACCTTATTTCTGCAGAACAGACGCTTATATGTACTCATATTTTCCACGCACGGTCTCAGATTGGAACGAAACAACTCAGGCATCCTCATAGAATCTACTTCTCTTTTGCTCTAAATAACATTGTCTTGCAAATCTAGGTTTCTGATCTTTTATTAACGCGTTTTTCTTTTCTTTTTGTTTGTCTTCTTGTATGTGCTGTACTTATTGTATACATATGTATTCATTGCTTTCTTGGCTTGAACAGTGAAAATTATTGTGTTTATTGTTTTGCATTTAACATGTATTTATTTTTACTTTTATTGCACAACATATGAAGTATGAATTTGTGGTGTGTTTTTTTCTCTCTTTTGTCCGGTACATGCATTATTATGAAATAATTTTCTATGTCGCTCCTTGCGTTCACTATGAGCGTATTAAACACTCACCACAAACAATTTATATGCCACTTATTGTTTCAACTATGTTCTCTTGTGTAACTGCCCACCTGCTTGGACCTAATGGTCTGCAGTATGTAATAAATAAAATAAATAACTTGCCACCGGCAGGATCCAAACCTGCGACCTTCGAATAACACATTCGATGCTCTACCACTTAGCTACGGTGGGGGTTATCCCTCCATCCACTTTATAAGGTATATATGTGCATTTAAACGTAAGAGCATTAGTCAGTACCACCTGCTGCCACGGCGGCAAGCACGGAACACTCTTCTTGTCTGTTTGGCATCACATGAGAGGTGAATGGGAAATAAGCACAGGTACACTTTACAAGAGCTCAAAGGGATGTTTTTTGTTGTTTGTAGCAAGGTTGGGTTGCCTTAGCATGCATACTTATGAAGTGAGATTCAGTGAAGAAGGGAAATGCACATGTGAGGGGAAATAAGGAAACAACGGAGCATGTTTATTTGAATGCAAGGACACCCACCCTGGTGCGTGTTAGGGCCCTAAGCTACAGAAAGGCCATGCACAGTGGTGATCAAAATTTTGGAGATCACGGGGGCACGTGGCCAACAGCACCGCGACGCTTTCTCACAGCCACCGGAGAAGCTTGAGGGCGTGCACTGCGCAAGCGCATCCTTTACTACCTGCCAGCTTGCGCTTTGGCTTCCTTAAACAGCACACACACTGGAATGCCAGAAAACATCGCAAGGTGTCACTTCTGCAGGTGCTGCGCAAGCATGAAGCGATAATATCGCCAGAAAGATATCTAACTTATAGGGAACCAGCGCTGGAGCTTTCACGACCACATTGGCGGTGAGAGCACGCACATCTCAGCTGCTCCCGCAGATGAGAGTGGCGGCTGGTAGAGGTGATGCGGGCGCACATCACTGTAACAAAACCAAAGGGCACTGGTGGTACTGCTGCGTACTCAAGTGCATTAACATATAAATGGAGACAGGACCTATATAGAAAAGGGAGGGCGTAGAAAGAGCATGCAGTTGCATCCAAGTGGAAAAACAAACAAAATTCTGCTCTCGGCTCTCCTGTCTGGTGCTGTCAGGCTTGTTTTTAAACCGAATGGCATGTCTGCTATATTTATTGGATAGTGAAGATGGCCACCAGTGGAAACCAGGAGCAAACAGTCAAATTTAAACGACGTTTTGCCAGAAATAAAATGAGCATAATATGCAAGATACAGCATATGTAAATTTTTTTTTTATCTGGCCCGCTGAGCGTTGTCTTGCACTTGCAGGACTAACAAATTTTCTATGCGTCCATCCATCTGATCACCACCACCAAACTCCATTTGATGGCACCGCGTGAAGTGAATGATACGATCGGCAGGTAGACTTTTTTTTTCTTTGTAAATAGTTGTGTGTAAAAGCTGCCTTGTCCACAAGACTTGAGCGGGGCCACGTTCACCTATGCCTCTGAGCTGTTATGAAAGTTACTCTCGCTGTGAACACGCGATGCCTCTGTTTAAGTTAATTTGTGTGAAAGACAGGGTTCTTGTTATGAAGGAAGCAGCGGACCCCTCGAAGCATAGCTTTCTGGAATAAGCGGATGCAGTAAGCGTTTTTCTCACTGGCGGCCATAGCTAAGTAACATCAGAATTTATGCCTTGCTAGAGAAGCATCAAATGTCTTCCGATTTTTACTCATTGTTTAGTTCGCCTAACACACAGTTTAAGGCTCTCCGCTTGCCTGTGTCGGCCTAAAATAAAGGGGTCTGTTCAACATCGATAAATCGATAATTTCTAGGCTTTCATGTGCCAAACAAGTTATAATTTTGACGCTGTAATGTGCGTATCAAGATTGTGACCGTTGGGGTTCTCTGATGCACACATATATTTTGGATCACGGGTGTTCTTTTTATGTTTCACCCCCCTCAAAGTGTGGCCGCCATGGTCGCTAATCTATCCCGCGCCTTCAAGAATAGCAGCGCGACACTACACGTGCTATGCTGCCACGGTGGTTTGCTTGGTCAACATCCCCATGCATACATACCGTGGACAGGGCGTACAAACGATGCTAGAAAAAAATTGACGCAGCTATCACTTTCTCTGCTTTTGTTGTGTTTTGTTTTACTGCAGACGTTGGCTGCGTGGTATCGTGGCAGCACCAACCTATCAATGGGTGCATGTCAGCCAGCACTAGCACTAGCTCAAAACCCAGCACGCAACCAGAAAATGAGGACAAGCTTGCCATCACGGCACAGCACTGTCCCTTCGATAACATATGTATAGATGCAGTCCGCTTAGCAGGGCTTTTCTTTTTTTTTTAGTGCTTTTTATGTGAGGGTAGCTTTCGGAGAAAGTTATTTTTTTAAACTACAGTGCAGTATTACTGGTGCAATGGCTTTTCAAGCTGTTCGTTCGAAAATGAAGCACTGCAGCGGTGCACACGCGTGCTCTCAGAGTGGTACATTGGGGCCGGTCATCTGAGCGCGAGCAGCTGAGTTTTGTCGCATCTCTCCGTCAGGTGCTTTTTTTCAACGCGCCACCTATCCAACGCTGGTCCCCCATAGGGAAAGTACTCGGCGTGCGCCACTTTTGCACTTAGGTTCTAGACGCTCCGCGGCGGCAAGAACACGCACATTGCGTCCATTTTTTTTTGATCGACACATGTGATAAAATTACCGAGCAGTCTTGGCAAACCACGCGTTTTCGCCGCCGTGGAACGTCTGGAACAAAGTTGAAGAAGCGGCATGCACTGGTTAGATATATTTGTTGCGATATCATCGCTCGGTGCTTCTTTGGCGACTGCAAAAGTGGCACCTTGCGGTTTTTCTGGCATTATGGTGTGCGCGCAGTTGAAGGGAGCAAAAGCACAGGCTGGCAGGTAGGAAAGGATGCGCTTGCACAGTGCCTGCTCTGAAGCTTCTCTGGTAACCATTAGAAAGCACCGCAGTGCTGTTGGCCACGGCCTCCCATGGTCTCCAAAATTTTGATTGCCACTGCACCCTTAGTGAGGTACTTACCTGAATAACAGTACATGGTGGCATTCTTAACTGGATCGCCAACTTTTTAAATAACAGCCACACATACATTTCTACCAATGATGAAGCCACCCACCTCTTCGTAAGCAGAGGTGTACCCCAAAGAAGCGTTTTAAGTCCCCTTTTTTTAACGCAGCAATGGCAAGTCTTCCAGAAGTGCTGCCTTGAACACATCCACGTATCATATGCATATGGTCGTCTCACAAATATCTGGATGTCATCACGCATCTGCTTCAGCAAGGGCAATAAGATTACCTCAAAAAGCGAGGCATGCAGATTTGTCTTACCAAATCTGTCCTTCTGCTTACTGTTCACGAGAAAGATAGTGAAAAACCTTAAAAACTTTTTTTTATGGCCAAAGAATCGAAATTAGACAAAAGCATTGCTTCTTTGGTGTCACTTTAGACCGACAACTCTGATGTCTCTTCACCAACCTCAGCTGTTACAAGCTTCCACACATGCCTGGGGCTTCCACAGGCAACATCAAATTTCCTGACATAAGCAGGGGCATGAAAACACAACTTTAGAGTAATTTGAATTGTGTTGGCAGTGTTACTGCTCTGTGTGTGTGCGTCTTTTCTTCACCCTTGTTTCGGGGAAATATACACCCGAGAAAATTTGATTGTGTGATAAATTTCAAATGGTAACTTTCTTTTTGGCTGAGCACCTCCTACCTCTCATTTGCCACCCTCCGTCTAGTTCTGGGTGATCAAACTGGTACTTTTAATTGACGAAATGGCCATGCTGACTTTTTCAGCAGGCTAAGTAGCAACCATTGCTTCGCGCAGCCTCGAGCTTGCCCAGCCCCACGAACACGAAGACAGCACCAGCTGCAGTGCTGCCGAAAGCGTAGACCAGAGTTTTGACGAGGGGTCCCGCTACATACCACCAAATGATGCATCTACCCCTCTCATGAGTTTTGTGCCCACCTCACGGCTGGTCTACCAGGAGGAGCAGATCAGCGAGGACTCATATCGTGGTTTCTACAAGCCCGACATGGACGTACGTCTGCCCATCAAACATTGGCCAATGGGCAAGGGAACCATATTCCCGGGCAAACTGGATGTTGCCATGTTTGCCATGGGTGACATTTCAACTTTTCCTCCGCCTCGACGATGTGGGAAGGAGCGGCTTCTTGGTAAGGGTCAACATTGTCCACCCCATGCTTGTCAACATCACCCTACTTTACCCTACACAATTTTTTTTAGCTTACTATGCTACATTTTACCCTATGCCAAAAAATAGACTCCTGCTTCAATAACACAGACTACACTTCACTGTACCACATGTGTGGTGAAGCTGAAGTCGGTAGCTACTTTTGTTTAAAAACATTTGGAGAGAGAATGAGGATGGGAAGAGAAAGCATTGTGGTATGGAAAGAACTAGAAGACTCTTGAGGTGGCAGCGCAAGTGATACGGTGACTAAGAGCGAAACATCATAGATGCATAAAGCAATGAGAGATCTGGCTATGGGTAACCTCCAAGAGGGTGTACACTTTACAATACTTCAATGGGACTGCACTGCTATTACGAGCAAGGTCGGGCTGCCTTAGTATGCATTATTCTCAAGTGAGGTTTAGTATGCACAGAGGATTTTCATTTCAATTGCAGACATTCACCCCGTGTGTGTGCCAGGGTCCCAGGCTACATGAATGCTTGGGTTTGGGGATAGCAGCGGAAAGATAGACGATAAGAAGTAAAATATTACTGGGGAATAGTTGGCGCAAAAGTAGGCAGATAGCAAAAGAAATAAGCAGAAAAACTGATGTTAATCTGCGCTGAGGCTCAGAAAGTTGGACTGTGAATTTATAAGGTTTTTTGTTACAGGGTGAGAACTTTTATTCATCTGGACAATATTTGGCTGTAACGTGATACAGTCAAACCTCGTTATAACGATGTTGAAGGGGTAGTCATAATTACTTTGCTGTAATGATTAGTTTATTATGACCAATTTTCATTTCTACCTACAATTAGCCAGAAAGACAGAATATTACTCATAAGTTACTCATCAAGGCAGTGCCATCAGAGAATCGAAGTGGACGATTGGGCCAGGTGGTGATACATGATCTAAGTAAACTACGCGGTAGAAAACACGAACGGGAAAAGAACTGCGCTTGTCCTTGTTTTTTTCCCGTCCGCCTTTTCTATAACGCGTAGTTTACTTAGATCATCAGAGAATGCCAGGTTACTAAGGTACTCTTCATGAACTCTTATCCCTAACTCATACCAATGTGGGGTCCTGAATACCTCCTGTAAGCATGCAGTGAATGGAATTGGAGAGATCATGTCTCCCTGCTTTACACCCTTCTTTATTGGGATTCTGTCGCTTTCATTATGGAGCACTATGGAAGCTGTGGATCCTCTGTAGATTTCTTACAGTATGATTATGTCGAGTTTTTCGATCCCCGGATTTTGTAGACCCTGCATTACTGCTGATGTCTAGACTGAGTCAAACACCTTCTCGTAATCTATGAAGGCTCTGTATAGCAGTTGGTTGTATTCCGCGCATTTCTATATTATCTGATTGATAGTATGAATATGGTCTATTGTGGAGTAGCCTGTACAAAATTCTGCTTGTTCCTTTGGTTGATTGAGCTCTAACATCACCGTAATTTTATTCGCTATTATTTATGTAAATATTGTAGTGGATCATAGCAATGGGGTGAGCGACCCATGAGGGGTAGAACGACTGGGGAAAGAGAACGACGAAGTCAGTGTTGTGTTGGATTGTGTTCGAGTGAGTGGCTCCTGCACATTACATTTAGGGGCAGCGGTGACAATGTTAGCCCATGCTTACAAAAAGTAACGATGCCGCGATGACAGCAACAGTCGGCACTTCACAGATGCACGCTACGGAAGACTACCATCGACAACCCTGGAACCTCCTGTTCTGACTACGCAGGAAAGGTTGGCACAGGCCACTTCCCTCAATCCAGCTCCTTACATCCCCCCCCCCCCCCCCCGACATAAATTTCTTACCGCAAAAGCCATCCACTTCAAGTGTCCCGTTATCGCAACAGAACTGCCACTTTTTCCGCTTCTTTTATTCCCCGCGCCGTCAAGGATTGAAACGACCTTCCCTGCTCCATTGTTTCAACCACCTGCCCATCATCCTTGGCGACAAATGTTACAAATCACCTGTGCTGCAAAAATTACCGTGTTCAAATTTTCTCTTTTCCTGTGTATCCACCCCTTATGTAATACCCCCCAGCGGGGTCCTTAAGGAAATATAAATGAAATGAAATGAAAATGAAGTCTCATCACACATCCCGCCACCAGCCACCCATGAGCCCCCCATTAGCCTCTTCCGTCGGAGTTTGATGTCCAGGGTACGTCAAATCACCCACAACAGTCAAGTGCTGGTGCTAGTCTACCTATACCTGACTGCCTGCAAGCCCTTCTTTCACAAGGTGAGACCAACAGGAAAATTTCAAAACTAGCTTCGCTACCCGCTTGCTCTGTTTTGAGGCCAGCCTCGCCCAACGTGCCCCTATGGCGGATGTCGTCACTGACCTAGCTGCGCAGCTCTCTGTCACTGAGGAGCAGTCTGGCCTTCAGCAACGTGTGTCTACTATGGTTGACCGAATTGTTCCTCTGTCAGCTCAGCCTCGGTTTTTCGGAGCACTACTTCCACCACCTATCTTTGATGGCACCACATCGTGGGCTGCATTTTTGGTGCAGTTCGAGTTCATTGCTGCCCTAAACGGCTGGACATTTCAAAATAAAGCTCAGGCGCTTGTGCAGCTCCGTGGTGCCTTGGTTGAATATCCCGAGTACATCCCGCAAGTCCTCCGCTCGAACTATGAAGCTCTGGTCTCGGCACTGGAAACCATGTTTGGTGACAGTCATCTTCTTCAGCTCTACCTCACACAACTGAAACACGTCCAGCAAGGTCACCGTGACTTTCAAGAGCTCGCTGCTCACGTCGGCAGATTGTCCAGGAAGGCCTTGTTGGGTTTCCCTACCGCAACCATGGACCTTATTGCTGCTATACCTTTGTTGATGCCATCAATAACAGAAGCGTCTGGCACTTCGTCCGCCTCGCTCGTCCGCATGACGTACGATCAGCTTTAGCTGTCGCTCCTGAGGCGGAGGTACAAGAACGCTCACAAGCAGCTGAGGATGCATACCGAAGGCCAACCTACATGGACGCACCATCCCGGACCTGGCATTTGGCTCCTACTCGGCTCCACGATCCTACAGCGGTACTCCGGTGCTACCACTGCCACGATGTTGGGCATTTTGCTCGAAACTGCCCTCGGGTGACCGAGTCACTGACAAACTCAGCTCCTATGCAGTCTTCCTCAAGAAACTACAATGCGGGTCATCAAGGGCAGGACCCCGTATAATGGCTGAAGCCCCTCTTCTTTCACTTGGCCCCTTCACCGAGATGCCAACTCTGCCGGTGAAGCTTGGAGATCCGCCGCAGCACGTTGAAGCACTAGTAGACACAGGGGCTGCATTCAGTTTTTTAGCGATGAGTTTCTTGTCTGGAAGATTTTCAGTGAGCCCTGAGCAGGTCGATTGTCCCCATCTCGTCCTAGCTGACGGAACCACTCTACCTACTCTCGGCGAAGTCTGCCTGTGACTGCGTGTGCACTTGGGCAGACAGTGAGACAGCGGTTCCTTGTTGTCCCAAGCCTGTGTGTGCCAGTAATGTTAGGCTTTGATTGGTGCGCAGAGTTTGGCATTAGTTTGCAGTTTAACTGCACTGATTGTACCATTGAACTGACGTCTACCACTTCGACACCAATTTGAGCAAGTGTTGAAACTTCCAATAAAGCTTGCACTAGGCAGTCGTATTTCCCGTTGAGTCATGTCATTTACAGAACTGTTGACAAAGCGCGCTCCGTGCTCGCTGACAACTGCCGCATGATGAAAAGTCTGATTAATAAATTTTCTTGGAAAGTTGGCATTCTAACAACGGGCACGAATATCTCCATGGGTACAAACAGCAGTGAACAACCTGAAATTGGAAAAATAAAACCATCCCTGCTTTTCAATCCTGTGATTACGGCAACCTCAGTTATCATCCCCTCGTCGTCTGCTGTGTGGGTTCCTGTTTACAGCCCCGACAAGTCCTTCGTTGTAGAAAGTACCGTTTCTTCTCGGCCTTGAGGCGAATTCGCAATGCCGCAGGCCCTCCATCAGCTGTTTCGGCAAAACCTTTGCAGTGCTTGTCTTCAACCTGTCCGAGACAGTATCCTGTGCGTGCCGTCAGGCACCGTCCTCTGTACCTGTACCTACCTTGAAGCACTGTCTATCGTAGCAGTAGTAGAGCCCGTAGCACCTTCGCCACCAACTGTATCGCCCTTAAACGGGAAAGAATTCAACTTCAGCCCCAACTTTACCCCGTCACAGAAAGCTGATATTCAAGCACTTCTACCGAAATTCCGTGACTGGAAGGCGATGTCACCCAGTGAGCTCAGCCACACTCCTTTGGTGCAGCACAGAATCGACACCGGCTCTGAAGTTCCTGTTCGGCATCACCCGCGTCGAGTCTCTGCCTCTGAACGCGCAGAAATCGCTAAGGAAGTGGATGACATGCTTAAGAGTGCTTTCATACCGCGCTCGTCAAGTCCGTGGTGGTCTCCCGCAGTTCTTGTCAGAAATAAAGACGGCACAATTCGTTTCTGTGATGACTATCCACGGCTAAACAGTGTCACCAAGCCTGACGTGTATCCGCTTCTTCGTCTTGACGATGCCTTTGACTGCCTGCATGGTGCCCGTTTTTTCACTACTCTGGATCTTCTTTCTGGCTATTGGCAGGTGGAATTAGACTCGAATGACGCTGAGAAGGCTGCCTTGATAACTCTGGATGGCCTATACCAGTTTAACCGCCTGCCATTTGGTCTCACCAATGCTCCTGCTATATTTCAGCAATTAATGGACCAGGTTCTTCGGCATCTCAAGTGGTCGATGGCTTCAGTCTATTTACACGACATAATTGTCTATGCTGCCACGTTTCCCGAACACCTCAGGCATTTGGAAACAGTCTTGCGTGCGCTCCAAGACGCTCACCTTTGTATTAAACCTTCCAAGTGCTTTTTCAGAAGTTAGTTACTTGGGGCACGTAGTCAGCGCCAAAGGCATCAGCCCTCATCCCACGAAGCCATTGCCTGTATTCCCCCTCCCATC